TTAACATCTGCAGGCTGCTGCAATAAACTAAAATTTAAATAAACTGATTTTACAAACTGAAAATAGTTCTCAACACTGAAATTTTAAAAATTCTAGTCTTAAAACATTGAAAAAAAAAATACTAAAAAGAACATGTAAAAAAATATAAAATTTCTAAAAAAAATGTAAAAGAAGCTATCGGTTTTTTTTAGAAAAAAACTAATTTTAAAGAACATAAGAAAAGAAAATTATAAAAAAAAATTAAGAAAATATTGCAAACAATGTCTAGAAAAATTCGTAAAAGAATCACACATGTTAAAAAAGATGCAATCGATCTCATCTAAACTTACATATTCTAGGTATAAATACATGCTCTGCTACATGTTCTTACACGTATACACTTAATCCATCTTCATCTCATTACTTGGGGACATTCACTTAGTGCCTCTAAATTCTCATATATATATATATATATATATATATATATATATATATATATATATATATATATGACATAATCTAAAGAGCGAGTGAGAGTAATGACTTACCTTATCACTGTCCCATTCTCTTCTACTCTGTCAGTGATCCATCTTTGCTCTTAGGCTTATTCATACACATACACAAGCATCTTAATACTTTGTATTAGCCTATTAAGAGCCTTTGACTCTCTAAGTCACCACAACCACTTAATGGATCATAATTCTATCTTTTCATTCTCTATCTCTTAATCTTATCCAATTAATGAATTAAGCATCTCATAATACCTATTTCATTACATTCTCTTCTAATGCATCAATTCATAATCTTATTAGTTAGGGTTTTAAACCCTAACTTCACATACATAGATTTCACCATGGAAATCACTTTCTAAGCTTGATTAAAGCATCTAAGCACATCCATTAATGTCATAATCAAGCTATAGGTTGATCTATTTAACCAATCTACTCTAATCAAACATTTTACCAAAATAGAGAAATCTTACCTTAATGGAGAGAGATTGAAAATCCTTATCAAGCTCCATCTCTAGCTTTTTGCCTTCATCCCAACACCAAAATTGCCAGCATTTAGCTGTCAATCGATCGAGATGTTTTGATTCGGAAATGAGGCTCTAACAGGTTAGAACCCGACTTAAATCGTCGACGTCGCGCCGTTACATTTATTCATTGCGTCGCGATGTGAGTTTTTTAGTCATGATCAGCCTCTTGCCAAGTCGCGATGCCTTCTCCAATAGCATCCTACTTTGGTCACCGCGTCGCGGGGCAACGTATATTGCTATTTCTTTCTCTATGAGAAGAACACATCTGAATCCTTCATAACGCTCACCGCGCCTTGGTGAGCTATGTACCGCGCCACGATACCTGCTTGACAACAACTCTTAGCTAATTTCATTCCAGCTTTGGGACATTTTTGTCCCAACTTCTAACCTTCATAACTTCTTGGTTTCTTACCCGTTTTCTATGATCTTTATATCTACGAGAAGGTGAGAACATACTTTTAAAATTTGTTAAGTCATATCTCACTGAATTAATATGAGTCTTAATCTATTAAGTCACAAAGTTGGCCCAAAAAGCATAAAATTCCCTTTTTACCCTTTTGACCAAAAATGCATCTTCTTATGTATTCTTTCTCTTCAACTTATTTATCTAACATCTTCTAAGTGAATTCAACTCTTAATGGCCATTTTCATGTAGTCACAACTTCATAATCTCATATCTTTCTCCTAATTGACTATTTTACCCTTTTGGTAAATATTTGACTAAAAGTCAAATTTCTCTAAATTTCAAGTTCTTACATAAAGAACCCAAACCGGAAATCCCTCTTTCATAGTCGCACTTAAGGAAAGGAAGACATATCAGCAACCTTGACAACCATCTTGAACCGCAAAGCACTGAACCCTAAATGATTAGGGTTTTGCCATCACCGACGCACAACATAAACGAGGTTTTCGGAGGTTTTCGAGAGTGGTGAAATGATAGCCGATTTTAGGGTTAGAAATCACTTACTTTTCGTTCCTAAGGCTCCTCTATTTATATATAGGGGAAGGTTTTGAACCCTTATGAGATAATTACATGGTCACTAATTAATTATCAATAAGTTTAGTAATTACCCTAAAAAAATTTACACTTAAACCCCTTAAGTCTATATGTTTCTTATTAATTAATTAAATCATTAATTAATTAACAAACTAGACCCAATAAAATTTCATGCCATTTGTTGCTAAAATTTATTTTTGCGTGTAAACCAAAAAGATTCTACCATTAATAGTAATATTACCTACCGACTATGGTCATTGTGGGCACTATTTCCAACAAAATTAGTTTTTGATACCATGTAATGTGGAATATATTATTATGATAAATATTTCATTCCATTTAAAAATGTTTAAATACAAAGTAATTATAGCTACTCTCAGGCTAACAATGTACATACTAAGGATTATAATATAACAATGTATAACACACTAACGAATTAATAAATCTGATCTAAACTCCAAATTTTTTACACTTTAACTGTTATGTCAAAACCAAATATAATCATGAAATTAAATCTTCCAATGTAACAATAAGGGATAATTTGACGATTAGCTATTTCATAGTCTTTTCGCTCATAACGACATCTCTTTATGTTTCTCCTAACAAAACATGAAGTTTGAACCCAAGTACCCATTCCCAACCCGTTCAACCTACAACCCGCTTATAACAGGAGCGAAAATGTCATTTTACGGCTGGCTAAGTGTGGGGGAGTGCCGATAACAGCCAAAAGGCCAACCATGAGAGCAATCGGTATGGGCCAAACGAGATGTAACGCCGCTTACGTGGCGCTTGGCGACGGCGACTTAACGGGGGGAACACCGCCCCCCTGCTCGTTGCAACTCGTCGAGGGTGGATCTCGTTGGCGTCACGACGGGATGAAACGAATGAATTGTTACCGTTTGAAACCTTTTAATTGCAACGGTTTGAAAAAAAAAATTAATTTAAAAAAAAAAAACAATTTACCCTATAAATACCCACCATTTTATAAAAAATTTCACACACTTTCTCTTCTCCTCTCTACATACTTTCAATTATCTTCAAAAAAATATGGATCCTTTCGACTCGTCCGATGATTCAGATGACGATATTTTCTTTAGGATGATGTATCATTATTACACTACCGACCTGCTACAACCAAACCCAGCCCCACTACTAACAAGACGTGCGATGTTAAACAGAAATCGCGAGGAAGGACACAAACATCTATATCGCGATTACTTTGCGGATAATTGTGTATACGGGGCGAAGGACTTCAAAAGAAGATTTCGTTTGAGTAGGGATGTGTTCTTACGAATCGCCAACGCCTTGGAAAGCCGGTATCGTTTGTTTACTATATTTTTATACAAAATAAATAAAAATGTACTACATGTTTCTTTAATTTTACAACATATGCAATATATTTTTAAACTGTAGTTAATTTATGTTTAGGTACAAATTTTTTCAATTAAGATATGATGCTAGAGGTAGACGAGGGTTTACAACGTTGTAGAAATGTGCTGCGGCCATTCGTTTGATGGCTATGGGGGAGTCACCCGACACCATGGACGACTATATGAGAATGTCCGAAAGAACCGCAAGAGAGAGTTTGTATACATTGTCAAGGGGTGTTGTTGAAACTTTTGGAGACGTGTATTTGCGGAAACCTTCGTTGCATGATTTGCAAGAATTGTATGCGGCACATGAAGAACGCCATGGGTTTCCTGGAATGATCGGAAGCATTGATTGCACACACTGGAAATGGAAAAATTGTCCGGTAGCATGGAAAGGGCAATACGCAAGTGGTCATCACGGATCACCTTCGTTGGTGTTAGAGGCTATCGCTTCTCAAGATTTATGGATTCGACATGCATTTTTTGGGGTTGCGGGTTCCAACAACGACGTCAACGTTCTTGATCAGTCGCCAATATTCGACGATCTTTTGAATGGAAAAGCCCCGGATGCTCCTTTCACGGTGAATGGAAACGAATACAAATATGGGTATTACCTTACAGATGGAATATATCCTCAGTATTCCACATTCGTGAAGGCATTCCGCCACCCGGTTGAAGAACGAGACAAATTTTTTAAGAGAAGACAAGAAGGAGCACGTAAGGATGTGGAACGTGCTTTTGGAGTGCTGAAGGCAAAGTGGCATATAGTCGAACATGCAGCACGACCATTGGATTTAGAAACTCTACGATATATCATGTATGCATGTATCATAATGCATAACATGGTAGTAGAAGATAAAGGGCGAAATATTGCACACTATATCCCAACGGAGCCCAGACACGTTCAGTTTCAACCAGGAACAACATATTATTTGCATCACGTTGTTGACATTCAGGACGCAAATAAACACAGACAACTTCGAGAGGACTTGACGGATTATATATTCTATGGTAACAATAACGATAACGAATAGCGTTGTATTTTTTTTTTTTGAATTTGGATGTTATTTCTTTTTTTGTTTTTGGATATTATGTGTAATTTAGTCTTTATGTTAATTTTAATCTTTAAAAATTTTTAATTGTTATTTATAATTTTTAAACATTATGTTTTATTTATTATTTATATTTAAAAAACATTTGTCTAAATTTAAAAAAAAAATCGAAATAAATAAAAAATAAATTATAAAATGGAAAAAAAATTGGTGTCATAACAAGATACAACATGTTGCCCATTTCCCCACTTGTTGTTATAACATCATTGATGATGTGGCATGTGATGTGACATCAAAATGATGTTACATCTAGTTGCCCACACCTTGTGGTATGATGCATTTCAAAACCATGAAAACCACCCATATTAATATTACTCTTTCAAAACTTGAATAAAAAATACAAACGAATTAACTGCATGTAATTTATTCAAATATTTAGCATTTTACATTAAAACAACGCGGCATAAATTGCAGCTGCCGTGTGGCTTTTGACATAATAGTAATGGTGGGGCCCATCTAATGCAACGGAGCTCCATTCACCGGTCAACATAAGTTCAACACTTTCCCCGAGCTTTTCCATTTTTTTCTATCTCACTCAACAACTATGGACCCCACCTACATTCCACCACCGTTACCAGAAAAATCTCCCCCACCACCACCACCGCCACCGCAGAACCCTTACACTCCTACTGCAATAATCGATGCATCGCCCGTCGATTGTTACCAGAAAGACGAGTCGAGTATGAACGGAAACACGAATAACTTCAAGGCACTGGTGTCGCAGCTCACCGGGGGATTATTACCAGCTCATCAATCGCTTATCGAAAGACGCTTAGATGATATTTTCCCGGATGAGCCTCGCGTCCCCGATCACCCTCCTTATGCCGATGTAAGTCGTTATTAGGATGCTCAATTTCAATCCTTTGGATGATCTTACATTATTTGCTCAAAAATGCATGCCTGTTCGACATATGCTCCCTCCGTTTATACATTTTTACTTTTGGTTATTCTGGGGGGTTACTTCTCAAATTCAGGTATGAAAGTTCAGCATTTACAAGGAAATTTTTGCATTAAGTATGTGGAACGGGTGTTCCGAATATAATAATGTTGGTATTAAATCTGGAACGTAGCGTCTATCGTTTTGAAAATCAGACAGCAAATGTCCAGAAGCTTGAAACTTTTTCGAAGGAGGGAATGAGGGATTGTTATTTGATGTGCTAAGCCCTCGAACTGAGATTGAAGAGATTTTGTGCTCAAATTCTGATATTATCTTGTGTAGAAATTAACATTAACCACTAATAGATTGGGGGAATGCCTTTGGGAACTGTGACATTAGGAGGAAGGAATGGAATTTGTGTTTACAGTTAAGTTTTTACTCAGTTGTTTGGAATCCTGTTCTTCATTGTTTTCAGTTAGATGAAACAATAAGTAGGAGATGACCTTACCCTAGGGTATCACAGAAGGTAGACAAAAAACAACCACAAAGAAAAAAAAAAGAGATCAGATAAAATCAAATTATGGTGATTACATAATGCAGCACCCTTCCCCTTATCAACACAGAACATAGAATAAATGCACATTTCGTTTGTTCACAGTTCACACTCAGATATATTTAGGTGGCTTGTTACTAATTTGTATATTGTTTTGTGGTTGTGTTACAGATGATACTAACAGCACTTTGGGAGTTAAACACAGAAGGTGGTTCAAGTGAGGAAGCCATTTCCAACTTCATTAAGAAGGAATACCATGAATTACCATGGGCACATGCTACAATCCTAAATCATCACATCAGAGATCTTCGCATGAAGGGAAAAATCGTCATGACACATGATAGAACATATTTACGCTCTCTACCCAGCTCATCTTCAACTTCAAGCTCCATTTCAAGTCCTTCTTCTAGCTCCTCATCAGATAGTGATTGGCCTAGCCCTACTTCATCCAGCTCTAGCATGGGTTTCGGCCTTCCTCACAGAAAACACAAAAAGAAAAAGAGGGAGAGAAAGAAGGGTAGAAGGGTTAAGATGGTTCAGGTCAGGGGTAGGGGTAGGGGTAGGGGTAGGGGTAGGGGTAGGGGTAGAGGTAGGGGTAGAGGTAGGGGTAGGGGTAGGGGTACACAACCCATGTTGATTCAAGTAACTTCAGATCAAAATGAAGTTACAGATATGGAGGTTGAAGAAGATGATAGTGATGGAAAAAAGAAGGGAGAAGTGGTAGGATTGAGGCGATCAGGAAGAAGGAGAAATAGTGTTAGTGAGGAACAGAAGGTAGGGGTAAAAGAGGAATATCAACAACAGTCTGATGATGTCATCAATAGTGATGGTGATGAAGTAGATGAGTATGTTGAATGTATAAAACATGAAGAAGAAAAAGTAGTGAGAAATGTTGAACATGAGGAGCAAGAAACAGAAGTCAATCAACAACCAATTCATCTACAAGAACAGTGTGTTGAAGAGACTAATGAAAAACTTGAATCTTGTGGTCAAAATTTGTTGAAAAATGAGTCAACTGAAGAGCAACCTCAACACAAAGAACAAGAATCAGAAGTAAATCAAGAACCAATAATTCCACAAGAACAATGTGTTGAAAGGACTAATGAGGAACAACAAACAGAAGTCAATCAACAACCAATGCGTCTGCAAGAACAATGTCTTGAAGAGATTAATGAAAAACTTGAATCTTTTGGTCAAGATTGTCTGAAAAATAAGTCAACCGAAGAGCAAATTCAACATGATGAACAAGAATCAGAAGTAAATCAAGAACCAATGATTCCACAAGAACAATGTGTTGAAAGGACTAATGAGGAACTTGAATCTTGTGGTCAAGATTTGCTGAAAAATGAGTCAACCAAAGAGCAACCTCAGCATGAAGAACAAGAAACAGAAGTAAATCAGAAAGAAAGTGGAGTAGTTGTGATGGAAACCGATGAACAAATTGATCCACAAATAGAAGTTGAAGTTTCTGAAGATGGAAATCAAGAAGAGCAACTAAACAAAGGGAATGAGAAAGACACTGAAGAACAAGGTGATGTAAAAAACAAAGAAACTGTAATAACATCTGAACTGCAACTCAAACGTAAAGAATCTAAACCCAGAAAGCCAGTTCTTAAAGTCGTACTAGGTTTAATGAAGGTTGAAAGTAGATCCCAAGGTAACACTGTTGTAGGAAAAAGTCGACCACAAACACCATTAAAAGAAGGTGTTGTAAGAAAAAGACAACGACAAACACCATCAAAAGAAGGTGTTGTAAGAAAAAGTCAACCAAATACACCATTAAAAGAAGGTGTTGTAGGAAAAAGTCAACCACAAACACCATTAAAAGAAGGTGTTGTAGGAAAAAGACAACGAAAAACACCATTAAAAAAAGCTGTTGTAGGAGAAAGTCAACCACAAAAACCATTACAAGAAGATGTTGTAGGAGAAAGTCGAACACAAACACCATTACAAGAAGGTGTTGTAGGAGAAAGTCAACCACAAACACCATTAAAAGAAGTTGGTGTAGGACAAAGTCAACTGCAAAAACCATTACAAGAAGGTGTTCTAGGAAAAAGTCAATCACAAACACCATTAAAGGAAGGTGTTGTAGGAAAAATTCAACCACAAAAGCCATTGCAAGAAGGAGTTGTAGGAAAAAGTCAACCAGAAAAACCATTGCAAGAAGGCGTTGTAGGAAAAAGTCAACCAGAAAAGCCATTACAAGAAGGTGTTGTAGGAAAAAGTCAACCAGAAAAGCCATTAAAACAAGGTGTTGTGGGAAAAAGTCAACCAGAAAAACCATTAAAAGAAGGCGTTGTAGGAAAAAGTCAACCAGAAAAGCCGTTACAAGAAGGTGTTGTAGGAAAAAGTCAACCACAAAAACCATTCCAAAAAGGCGTTGTAGTAAAAAGTCAACCAGAAAAGCCATTAAAAGAAGGTGTTGTAGGAAAAAGTCAACCAGAAAAACCATTACAAGAAGGTGCTGTGGGAAAAAGTCAACCAGAAAAACCATTAAAAGAAGATGTTGTAGGAAAAAGTCAACCAGAAAAGCCATTACAAGGTGTTGTAGGAAAACATCAACCACAACAACCATTCCAAGAAGGCGTTGTAGTAAAAAGCCAACCAGAAAAGCCATTAAAAGAAAGTGTTGTGGGAAAAAGTCAACCCGAAAAACCATTAAAAGAAGGTGTTGTAGGAAAAAGTCAACCACAAACACCATTAAAAGAAGTTGGTGTAGGAAAAAGTCGATCACAAACACCATCAAAAGAAGGCGTTGTAGGAAAAAGTCAACCACAAACACGATTAAAAGAAGGCGTTGTAAGACAAAGTCAACCGCAAAAACCATTAAAAGAAGGTGTTGTAGGAGAAAGTCAACCACAAAAACCATTACAAGAAGGTGTTGTAGAAAAAAGTCAACTACAAACAACATTAAAAGAAGGCGTTGTAGGAACAAGTCAACCACAAAAACCAATACAAGAAGGCGTTGTAGAAAAAAGTCAACCACAAAGACCATTACAAGAAGGCGTTGTAGAAAAAAGTCAACCACAAAAACCATTGAAAGGTGTTGAGAAAATTGAGAAGAAGAGACCAGTGAGACAAGGATTAAGGTCTAGCATCAAGAAACAAGAGACAACTCCAATTCCAAAGGTACCCCTACATTTTTATAGAATAAATGAGGGCGCAAATTATAAAGAAAAACTATTATATCTTGGGTAAATTTTGCAGTTTAACCACTTATACCTTATTTTTTTCCCATGAAACCATAAAAGTTCCTGATATATTTTTTTAATTTAACCATTTTGACATGATATAAGAAGCTAAAAACTTAAAATGGTAAATTTGGAAAATTACTGGTGAAACCTGATATAAGTCTTTTAACTGTTTAAAATGGTTAATTTGGAAAAAAGTCAAACTTTTATAGTTTGATTGGGAAAAGTTGCAGGAATTAGAGGTTAAATCGCTTGCAAAAAACTTGATGCTTTCTTTTTGTAATTTGCCTAAATGAGGTCCAATATGCAACATTTGATTTGATTGTTTTTTATTTTTAGAAAAAAGAAGAACAAGTGGTTCCGGTTCGAAGAATCTTGAGGTCTAATAATACAGTTGCAGAAGCAATAAATGAGGTATTCAATGCTACAAAATTAACAATATATATATATATATATATATATATATATATATATATATATATAATCCTTATGTTGGACTGGTTTTTAAAGAAACCAAATAAAGGTTTTAAGACCAGAGAATTGCTTTGTTCCAGATAGATAGTTTATTGAGAGCTACGAGAGTGTTTAACTGTTTTTATACACAAGCAAACATGGAAAGCAAGTAAAACTAGATAAACATAACTTAGATAAACATGAGTAAAAGGTATCCTAATCTAATCTAATATGAATTCCTTTACTCCCCTCAAGTTGGAGTGTGGAGATTGCCCAACTCATCTAGCAAGAAACAAAAACATTTTGTCCGAAGTGGTTTTGTGAAAATATCAGCAAATTTGTCTTTGGTATTATGTAGCACGGCTTGATGCCTTAAGACTCCACTTGCTCATGAACAAAGTAGCAATCCATCTCTACATGCTTCGTTTGTTCATGAAAAACAGGATTGTTTAGGGTTATGATGAGTTGCCTGGTTGTCACAATAGAATGGTGTAGGGCCCGTTTGGGGAGCATCATGGTCGGTCAGCACCCAACGAAGCCACATAAGTTCGCTAATAGTTCGCAGTAGGCGACAAGAATCAACTTCTCGTTTGTCGATTGGAATATTCCTTGCCCTAGAGTAGTGTTAAGAATATCGCAATATGCGTATGGAAGCAACCCAATGTGATTGTTGAGGTGATGACACACCAACTGACTAAGGGTGTTAACAACGAATGTGATATTTGGTCGAGTAACTTGCAAGTAAAGGAACCTCCCAATAATGTTTATTTTCTTCTGTCCATTGTTTATTTCCAAGAAAGTATTTTAGTGGCCCTAAATCTTTGGTGCTAAATTTGTTGTCAAGGTACGTCTTTATCGTGACAATTTTTTGAGTATTATTCCCCAAGAGTATTATAAGATCAACATCTATGAGATCCGAGATGTAGATATCACATTGTTTAAGAATGAAAAGCGAGTTTTCAACCTTAGAGTGTTGAAAGCCAATCTCTAGAAGAGCTTTTGTGAACTTGTTGAACCAATTTTGAGAAGCCTATATCGGAGGTCATACAAGTACTTTTTAAGCCACCAAACTAGTGTATCTCCTTCTTTAGTGATCCTTGTAGAACTTTCGTGTATATTCTTTATCGAGTTCACCATGTAAGAAAGCATTGTTTACATCTAGCTGACGAATAGACAGTCTCATTTTATGTGTACCGATATTGCTAACATAGTTGACATGGTTACAAGTTTTGCGATTGGCGCAAAAGTCTTATGGAAGTCTTTCCCTTCCACTTATCTGAAGCCCTTCGCAACTAATCTTGCCTTGTAACGTTCAATCTCGCCAGAAGACTTGTATTTGATTTTGTTCACCCACTTCAATCAATAGCCTTCTTTGTTGGTCGTAAGAAATGTTTTAAAAACCGATTTTTTTAGTTGAACCGGTCTGGTGATCGGTTTCCAGTTTAACTGGTTCGACTGTCGGTTCAACCGGGCTTCGAGTTGTGTACACTCCGGATAACTCGATTGGTAAATTCCCATGAAATCTCAATGCTCTTGTTTGCAATCTCCAACTAGTGTCTGTTTTTTCTTCCACGGCCCCGTTTTGTTGTGGGTTGTCTGCACGCAAAGTCTTAAGAATGATTCCATGTTCCTCATAGAACTTAGCTTTTCCAACTCTTTTAATATTTTTAATATTTTGACTACTTTTTCAATTAAAAAGGATCCCGATTCTTCAAAAGAGCAACAAGAAGATTCAGGACGAACGAGGTCCTCCAAGAGAATATCAAAAACTTCTGAAGCAGAACAACTGTCAAACTCAAAGAAGACTAGAAGGATCTGATTTATGATCACTCCAGAAAATGAGAATGGTAATTTAGTTATACATTATTGTGGTATTTTTTTATTTATTTGTAAATAATTGTTTGAATTGTCCTAATTTGGGTTTTTTGGTTTAATTCCACAGATATTATTTCATTCTTTGTTGCTGCTCCTTGGATTTTCATCTTTTTGAAGGTGGCAGGTATTGGAATTTCTTAGGTATGATTATTTTGTTGTAATCATGTATGTTTGTAATTTGTGTAACGTTTGTTTAATTAGCATGGAGAGACTGATCTGTATCAGTATGTATGCAATTGATGATGTTTGTAAATTGTATCTGTAAGAGATATTTGTTGTAAAATCGGGGTTTTCCGATGAAATATCATTAAGATTTAAGAGCATGTTATTGTGGTAAATATGATATATTTTAAGATGTGAATATATGGTGTAACTGAAGGTGAAAAACATAGAGTTGACATGTATCTAAATCTAAAAAGTAGTAAATAAACCTCCCGCTTATCTTTGTTATTTACCGAAAAAGAATCATAGCCCCCATGTGTGATGTGTGCTCTAATGTTGATGAAAGAAATTCGAGGAATTAGTTTTTTGTAGTTTAAAACAAAGTTGTAGAATAATACGTTGCAAACAACTTTTACTATATTGCTTAAAATTTAGGAAATACAATTGAATAATTAATTTGCATCAAAATATAACAAAAAAAAAAATCCTAATTCCTATAAAAATGGGGTAAGGGGAGTAAGATGGTAGGCAACCTTAACTTTTTCCAAATAAGATATCCGACAAATAAAAAGAAAAAGTGGAAAAAAAAAAAAACAAAGGAAGAAAGAAAAGAAAAGAAAAAAGATACAATGCAGTGGAAATGACAAAGAGCATGCATACTCAAATAAGATTTCATGCATAATAATTTCAAGTCCATTGTCAAACAAAACAAGAAAAACGAATAGTTAAATAACTTAAACATATCAAGGTCAATGTATAAATAGCACAAATGGAAAACATGTAGTTTTAAAGGTAGAATACACACAACATTGTAAATCAATAGTAAACAATAAGGAAGGAGCACACTGCACACATGTACACGAGAGCAAATACATCTAACACTTACATGAAAACAAAGGACAGACTCATAGGATGAGATGCACAAACAAAAATCAACCTGAAAGGGCTACATATCACAATAAATTATACAAATACTAGGAATGAAGCGTGGAACAAAGGTTGGCACATCACTTGAGGTGAATACTAGAAGATATAAGCAAACAATAAATTGGGATAAATGTCTAGGCAACAAGTAGAAACATAGGTTAAACATAGATAACTATTATACTACTCCACTACCTTGATCAAATGCCTCTACGCGCTCCTATACGAGGTTATGTCCTCAGAAAGACCTAACTCTTTCAAGTCTATCATCACATTAGCAATCCACTTCCTTCGTAGGTGACCTTTCATCCTCTCATCATCTACAATAATCATCTCCACCTTCCTAAATATAATACTGAAAATAGAAGTATATTACCATTTTATGTTTTAAATGGTACGATATAATTTGAAAAAGAATCAATTAATACATTTCATTTTGTTATCGTATTATAAGGGGAAATTTAAATAAACCAGCAATGATGTGCCATGTGTTCCTGATACCTACACTCACACATACATGTTCAATTATTGGTTTTTAGTAACACCCGTATTATAATATATTGATGTGTATTTATTGTCCCATGGCCTTATTGTGTATAACCGATATAATTGTTGTACTCTTATCTATATAATGAGAATAATCATGGGAAAATATTCATTATCATGGTATAAGAGCGGATTTCATCTTTTTCCTTAAACTTCTCATCCTCTCTCATGTCCCTAAACCTAATTTGTGGCTTTCCTCCTTTTTGTCTACGATCAACCCTCTTTTTCTCTATTTTTCCATGACCAATACCTCAACCCTCTTCTTCTCTATTTTGATCCTTTCAACGCCTCAAATGAGATGCATTGAGAGAACAAATTGAATCTCACTACTTAATGCACTCGTATTGATTCCATCACCAAGATGTATCCGACTATTGTACCCATATCAAGATAATTATTAGTTTATTGGATAACATTGATGTTATTGTCATCGAAAAAGAACATAGTTACGTATACCATTAACGATCTCTCACTTAAGTTCGACTACATTACGCGCCTACTTCGCGATCGAATCCCCATCTCAACTTTTCTAGAGACCTGCTTAATGCTTCTTCTCAAGGAGCAAAACATGAAACAAGTGCATGATTGGACACACAATTCATTTTAATCAGATCACTCATCATCAAACACGGTTCTCACTATAAAAAACTTTCCTAACAGTCAACAATCCCGTGCCATAAACAATTATCTTAGGGAGAGGACGTAGTAATCGGGGAGGTCGACGATCTTCAAACAAAGATAATTGTCCAAAACCCTAGAAAATTGAGGAGAGAGGATAAAGGATAGCAAAACTGAATTCTCAGCCTTACAGAATGTAGGATCAAATTTTATGAAGACCAAAGGGGTCTTTATATAACCGAGGTAACTTGCAGATAAAACCAATTTTAATTAATTAAATAATAAGATTGAATCATAATTTAAATCCTTACTTTATCTATTACCTGGATCGATTCCAAGTAGGTTTCTAGAACCTCTCAAAATCATCCACCCTCGTAGGATTCCAGAATGTTTTTATTGCTCAACTATTGAATAATTAACATTTAGTTCTTGTACCTTTTAAATAAATTCTTATTAATTCAAATTAATTCCAAATTAATTATAACTAGTTTCTAATTAATTTATTAGCTTGTAATAAAATAATAAACTATTTATCTCACACTCTTAAATCATTTTTTTAGCTATTTTAGCTCTTGCAGGAGACCCTAAATGGACTTTACTATTATTCCTAAAGCTATACCAATTAGTTATGACATTGGACATCTATTTCTAACAACAACTCAATCAACGAGGGTTATGGTGATCTTGTCTGAGATGAGATGGATATCTGAAGGGGATGGATGATTAAGTGAAGTTATGGTTTAATTTGAGGGAACGTTACAGAAACGGAGGGAGTGGTAACAATAATGACATTGACAGAGGTGTATAAGGTATTGGATAGGCATGGTTGTAGACCAAGTGGTGGCCGATGATGCAACCGTCGACAATACCAAATGTGGAGAAGGTTAATAGAAGGTGTGGTTCTTAGTATGAAAATGGGTTTAGCCGTTTAGGGTTAAAAATATGAATAAATAAGGTTGTGTATTTTTATCTTCATCAAATTGGTTCGAGGAAAAAATGGTCATATATGAAAATCTAAGATGTTGTTTGTTTTTTTTTGAAAAGGTTCTGCATGGCCTCTTATGTTTGCGAATGGGCATACATTAAAACAAAAGACTGTTTGTTTTTTAAAAAATTGCAGACATAAAAAGGTAGGTGCCACCTTTTTTTTAGAAGATAAAAAATAGCTTATGATTTTGGAAGACATCTTATAAGTTACAACCATAAGTTGTTGTTTCCTTTTCCACCACCACTACATTCGCCGCCAGCATCACCACCACCACTGCTACTTACGCTACCACCACCTAGGCCGCGACACCACCTTCACCACCACCACCTCCAACACATTTGCTTCCTCTGCTACCCGCGTCACCACCGACAACGCCACCACCAACACTGCCACTAGCGCAACCACCACCTCTGTTGCGTCACCACCATCGGTATGTACATATGGTTTGTTTGTTTAATATCATCTATAATTGATATGATTTAATATAATTTATGTAGCATACGAAATTTAAAATATAAATAACTTTTTTGCAGACTGCAGACTTGTAATCCACATCTTATTTTGTAGATGTGGAAAAAAAAGTTGTATATATATTTTACCTCATCAAAAACAAATAACAAATAACAACTAAATTTATAGATTTATTAGCAGAGGGATAACCACTGTCAAAAAAAATAAAACCATGAAAACTGTCCATGTCAAAATTTAAAATTTGAAATCAAAATACGAAATTCAGCGTACCACATGGACCATTAGTGTAACTGTCAAAAAAAATAAAACCATGAAAACTGTCCATGTCAAAATTTAAAATTTGAAATCAAAATACGAAATTCAGCGTACCACATGGACCATTAGTGTAATTTACTCTTTTAAATTTCAATAATCGGCCATCTCTAAAAGTAAAAAAGAAATAAAATATTCTTTTTACATTTCTTTATTCCCATCACTAGGTTATAACCAGTGTACCACACGGTATTGAAAAAATAAAGCAATATTAAAACTTTAAAGATGAGTATTGTCGAACAAATGGATTAGTAGCTTTTCAAGTAAGAAAAAAAATAGTCTTCTATTTTGATGAAACTTCATATTCCGTGATCAAAAAGACCAAAAAATCGCATTTGCTAAAGGAATATTGGACATGTTTTAAAGAATTCAACGATAGTTGTTGATATAGAAGGCTAAAGGAGATGGAAAACGACCGTATAAAAGGGGGATATAGAGAGATAAGATATAAAATACATGTGTTTATTCGTTATACTTATCGTTTTATTCATGGTTTTCGTCATCCGATGATGATGATTCTGATGAGGATTTGATTTTGCATATGCTGTTGTCCGCGGCACGAGACACGGTACGTGAGAGAGGCGAAAGTTCAAACGTCGAGAAGAAACATAGAAAATGGATCAACCGGGATCGAGAGGCGGCACATGAAATTTTGGTACGCGATTATTTTGCCGTTGAATGTTTATATGATCTATCAAAATTCGAAGAACGTTTTCGTATTAGTAGAAATTTATTTTTACGTATAGCTAGAGATTTGGCACGTAATTATGTGTTTTTCCAATTACGATGGGATGTTAGAGGTAAACGTGGTTTTACTACAATACAAAAATGTACGGCCGCTCTTAGACAATTGGCATACGACATCGCCGCAGACACATCACATGAGTATTTGAAAATGTCTGAAAGAACGGGCCGAGAGTGTACATATCTATTTTGTGAGTATGTTATAGAGCTTTACCGTGAAATATACTTGCGACATTCGACTAAAAGCGACGTCGAACAGTCGTATGCCACGCATCAAGCTAAACATGGTTTTTCAGGGATGCTTGGTAGCATTGATTGTACACATTGGGAGTGGGCAAACTGTCCCAACGCGTGGCATGGTCCGTTAACGCGAGGTGATCATGAGGTGCCGACTGTTATATTGGAGGCGGTTGTTTCAAATAACCTATGGTTTTGGCATGCATTCTTTGGTATGGCGGGGTCAAACAATGACCTGAATGTGCTCCAAGCGTCTCCGATATTTAACGATATTTTACAGGGTAAAGCACCAGACATGTCATACGTTGTCAATGAAAATGA